AGCTGGGCAATTGCCCGTCTCTCATCTAAGACTAGCAGTTTTTATTCCCTGCCAAGAGTAAAACAGGGGGTCTCTGGACTAGGGAAACACCAGAGACACTGAGGACTGGATATCATATTGTAAACAGGATTAAGTTGGCCTATAAACTGAGTATTAGCAACCTAGCTTTCTTCTCCCACTTAGTAACCAGAATGCTATTTATCAGACTTATACTCACCCCATCCCAGTAGAAGAATCGTGGGAGAATCTAACCAGCCAAAAGGAACAGGTCTAAAGGTGGCAGGCGGCAAGACTTTCTTTAAAGAAATGGCCCAGTCATTTCAATGAACCTGATAGTCTTCAGTGCTACCCACGGGTTTTAAATAACTTTAAATAGGAGCAGACAACCACTGATCACTGAACAAATGAGTAAAGTTTCTAACATGAAAATGCTCTATGATTTCCATAAACTACAGCAAAGGCCATTTTTGAACTTCTTTTACTGCCGGGCGCGGCGGCTCACCAACGTGGAGAAACCCCATCTCTACCAAAAATACAAAAGTAGCCAGGCGTGGTGGCGCATGCCTGTAATCCCAGCTACTCGAGAAGGGTGAGGCAGGAGAATCGCTTGATCGTGGGAGGTGGAGGCTGCGGTGAGCTGAGATCACGCCATTGCACTCCAGCCTGGGCAACAAGAGTGAAACTCCGTCTCAAAAAAAGAGAGAGAGAGAGAGAGAGAGAACATCCAAACAAAAGAAACTTGGAAGAAACCAAGACTAAACAGGATAAAAACTTTTATTAATGTTACTATTATCCTCAGAGAGAAAAAAGAAGATATTTAATCCATGAAAAAAATAATTTTATGTTTTTAAAAAGAACAATTAGAACAGCCTGTGGAAATTAAAAATATGATATTAAAATTTAAAACTCTGGCCGGGCGCGGTGGCTCAAGCCTGTAATCCCAGCACTTTGGGAGGCCGAGACGGGCGGATCACGAGGTCAGGAGATCGATAAAAATATGATATTAAAATTTAAAACTCTGGCCGGGCGCGGTGCGCCAAGCCTGTAATCCCAGCCACTTTGGAGGCCGAGACGGGCGGATCACGAGGTCAGGAAGATCGAGACCATCCTAGCTAACGCGTGGAACCCCGTCTCTACTAAAAAACACAAAAAACTAGCTGGGGCGAGGTGGTGGGCGCCTGTAGTCCCAGCTACTCGGGAGGCTGAGGCAGGGAGAATGACGTGAACCCAGGGAGGCGGAGCTTGCAGTGAGCTGAGATCCCGCCACTGCACTCCAGCCCCTGGGTGACAAGAGTGAGACTGTCTCAAAAAAAAATAAATAAATAAATAAATAAAATTTAAAACTCCAAAGTTGGAAAATAATAAGATGAGAACTCTTCCTGGAAAGTAGAACAAAAAGACAGAAATGAAAAATAAGAAAGGTTTACCCAAAAAATACTTAAAAATTAGGCAGGGCAGGTGCAGTAGCTCACGCCTGTAATCCCAGCACTTTGGGAGGCAAGGCAGGTGGATCACCTGAGGTCGGGAGTTCAAGACCAGCCTGACCAACATGGAGAAAGGAGAAAACCCCCGTCTCTACTGAAAAAATAAAAATTAGCCAGACAAGGAGGCACATACCTGTAATCCCAGCTACATTGGGTGGCTGAGGCAGAAGCATCACTTGAACCCGGCAGGCGAGGTTGTGGTGAGCTGAGATCATGCCATTGCACTCCGAGCTGTGGGCAACAAGAGCAAACTTCGTCTCAGGAAAAAAAAAAAAAAAAAAAAATAGGCATAGTGGCCACACACTCATAATCCTACCTACTTGGGAAGGCTGGCATGTGAGGATCCCTTGAGCCGAGGAGATGGGAGGCTGCAGATGAGCTATGATCTCACCACTGCACCCAGCCTGGTTGACAGAGAAAGACCCTGTCTCTAAAATTAAATTTAAAATTTTTAAAAAAAGAAAAGAAGGCCAGGCCGGTGGCACCAGCTGTAATCGGCACTTTGGGAAGCCTGAGGCGGCGCAGATCACTATAAGCCAGGAGTTTGAGACAGCCTGGCCAACCGTGGTGAAACCCCCTCTATTAAAATTCAAAAAATAGCCAGGCGCGGGTGGCAGGCTTCTATAATCCCAGTTACGTG